ATTTTGGTCCGAAGTGAAAGAATATTTCTAAGTAAATGCGCAAAAGAAAGCTTGGCTCGTGTTCACCTTTGATTCGGTCGTTTGGATGGTCGTTTATACTAAATTTTCTATTGGTGTTCACTGTTGAATTATAAAGTTGGGATTGCAAACAATTGCTCATTTATACGCTTGTAAATCGGAAAAGACTCTCGATTTAGTGTCAATGTCAAACAAAACTATATAATATTTCTAAGGATAATTGGAAAAAATGCTAGTTGCCTGCAACATTTAGAACAGTAAAATGGATTTTTTTGAACACAAGTAATTTATTGGAAGCCTCTCGGAGATAAAATAACGCCAAACTCTGTTAATACTACCTGACGAGTGCCTCAACATCCCGTCCTTGGTATATAAAATTTCTTAAAATGGGCCACTGAACTTTTACATGGGCTACGCCTACACTACCAGTTTCTCAAATCCGACCTGCCCAATAGCTTCGGCCGGCACCAAATGACGCAAGATAGAGGCGCGGGAGTGTTGCGAAAGCTTCCATTAGAATTCGAAAATTCTCCTAATGAACCAAGATTAGTTTCACAATTATTTTATATGTAATGCATATTTATTTAGTATATATTTACATTTTATAAATGTAAAGCTTATCCAATAGCTTTCAAATAGTGGAGTAGTGATCTCAGAACTATGTGCGACGCCTGTAAATCTGTATACTCATGCTATTAAAGTTCGGATTTTGAAAGTCTTATCGAATGGTAACGAGTCGGAGGATTCAGAAATGAGAGGCCAATGGGAATTCCCTGTGCACTTCTGAGTAAAAGACCCAGGGTATTAAGCGAGGTAGATTAATGTGCAACCAGTATAAAAAATAAAACGGAAAATCTCATCGGGTTCTGCAAACTGCGTCCTTGAATATTTTCCTTGTACGTGACGTGGGGTCGATCCAAATGGTCAGTCTGTAGAAACGGTCTAGCTGGGATCTCAAACGTTCCGACCAGCTTAAATCCTGGCCATTTATAGTATTGGTATAAACATTAATCCACGAATCAAAATGTTTTAACTCTGTGCATATAATTTAACCCAAAACGCAGTCTTACAATTTTAAACGTTGTGGACGTGTATAAAATAAGTCGAATATTAATTCACTAAACAAATGCATCAAAATAAAAATGATAATCTCGGATCTAGATTGCTATATGCCAAATGTTTGATCGCAGTAACAAACATTCTCGCAAATATCACGTTCGAATTTAGCGAGTATCACAAATTCTGTACGAAGAAATTTCTTTACTGTTACGAGGAAGGTCTTATTCGAACATTTATCCTCTTTCCTCATTTCGTAGAATCAACGTGACCTAGAACTATCTAGAACAAAGAAGCTCAAATAAAATAGTAAGAGTAATTGGAACTCGCGAAGTGTTCATCGGATCACCTTGCGAAAGTATAGCTAACGCAAAGTTCTCAAATATATTCTTGACATTTAGTCGCAAATGGGAAAATACTATGCTATTCAGTATAAGCAAACTTGATATTCTTTCAGAAAGGTGTAAACCAGTTTTCGGAGGTGTAAATCCGTATAGTTTGAACTAAATGAACTTCTAGAAATGTAAAATCCCTACTTTAATCAAATGAAGATAGTTTCATTTAAGAGGGTATAGAAAATAGAAAGCGATAATCGAGAGTTAATTTATTAAAGATTTAAGTTTTTCTTTTTCTATTACACTAAAATTAAATTTACCTAAAGCATATATATTTTTGAATATTGATAAGCCGATTTTGAAAACTAATGTAATCAGTTTTTAGTAATGCTCTAAATTTATTTAAATATAAAATAAGAGCATTAAGGCATTTAGGCGATTTTCATTGTGAATGTTAACAGATTTTCTGGCAAGAAATCCTGCCTCCAAAAAAGCACATACATTTTCAAAACTTAAACTTCTGTGCAGCATTGCGTTAAAAAGTCAATATTCTTACGTTAAATTAGCTTTTGATAGAAAACTCCTAGAATGTTAAGTTCCTTACGAAATACGAACTGCCTTTGAAATTGTAACTATCGACAAGGCTGCTCATGGATAGTCATAGTAATATCAGAAATTTGTCAGTCCTTGAATCATTTAATTTAAATCAGGAGAAAGATAATTTAACAAGACTGTCAATAATAAAAGGAAATTGCCAAAACTATAATTGAATTTTTTTAAGGTCTGATTGAGATCGCTAAACCTTAGAGAAATTTGTAGCCAAGACCAATGGTTTCTGTGAAAATGAAGCTTGTTTCTTGGAGCCGCCTAAGTTCGTACATTGAACATCAGTGGCTAAATCAAAGGTGCATTATCGGCATGTAACTTCCATGTGTTCTTACATTAGGTTCTCTGTATTTTCCTTACGTGCATTCTTAAGACATTGCACAGAATTCTATTTTTACGCTAGTTGTCTGCCTAAGGTTTGTAATTGCTCTTTCTATAGAGGAAGTAGAATCCGTACTAGATGGTGACTGTTGCTTCGGCTTTCAACAGCTGCATAGGGCTGGAGCAAACATTCACTTTTATTCGTATCATTAACTTTTTGTAGAGTAACGGGCTAGTGGAGTGTCATGGAATACTTTCGCGGCGTATAAATTACTTGAACATCTCTCGCTTGGTAGGAAATCTCAGGATAAATTGTAGAATAAAAAGATAAATTAACTAAGTTTTGACATTTGCTGCTGCTGCCAAGTTTGAAATTTTTGTTCTTGAATTGTAATAAGTTACGCATTTCATTTGAACTGGCTAGATAATATAAATATAAAGACGTTACATATATGTAATTTCGATTAAGGTCCCTCAAGTTTTCTAGACGTAAAACTAAGGGAGGAACAAAAAACTCATTACTATTCGATGAAATGTTCTTATATTTTAGATTTGTTTAACATTACCTAAAAGGAGCAATAGCGACAGAAGAACAATGTGGATTGAAAATGGTTATAAATATTTATATTTACATAACTGCATATACATAACGTAATTGATTTTTCGGAGCTATCTTTATAAAATGGTGTTATCCCCAAGCCTAGAAGGGATGTGGGTATGTGCCGTCGATAATATCTCCAATTAAATATTACAGTACCGTTTACAGCAATCTGAGAAAGTAAACATTATGGTAAAACGGCTCGAAAGTACTTCATAAATAAAGTAAATAAAAAGATTGTTCGCTAAAACTGCCTTCAATCGTCCCAAAGAATTCTAAGGAAGAAGACTTAAGACTTCAATTTAACATCTTATTTTGAGAAATTTAATCTTATTTTATATAGAACTAAACATTTTTCTTATTAGAAATGAATAATAATGGAGGAAGAAAATGAATCATTTGTTAACGTTTTGATAGTAATTGGAGTATAAAATTAAAATGTGACATGCAATTTAAAAATAAACTAACAATTTTTCCTTCAGTAGCCCTTGTAACTGTCGCCTGTAGGAAAGGTGACCTTCACGCGCAGAGACTATTAGAAGAGTCTGAGGGGCGGCAGTGATGAAAAGACGCAATTACACGACTTGACGTGGTCTTGACGTGAATAACACAGGAACAAAGGTCAGACTTAACGATCAGAAAGATTTTTCAATTTATTTTCAGAATTGAACAGGTTTTACATATTGAAATTCCGATGCATCGATCTTTGAAAGAAAAAAATTGGGTAAGGAAGATGAAAGATATTTTAGACTGACAGTCGCGCTCGATGTCTAATGGCTGCAGGAACAACCCAGAATTTTAAAATATTTAATGCAGGAGGAAAGTCAATGAATGGTTGAAGATGTTCACTGTATGGCGAGATAATTAATCTGATCAAAGATGGGTACAATTAGTTCCCAAGTCTCGCTTAGTTCTTCGGTATACTAAATGATAATACAAAACAAACTTAAGATATTTTCTTGAAAGAAAATGCATTTATCGAATAAAATGTAGAAAATATGAAAGACGTAAAGACCACTAAAAACCGAATAAAATATATAAAGTTATTTACACATGTGCTGTCTCCCCAATCTTTACAAGAAAAGTTCAATTCTGGTTGATAACTGGAAAAATCTGGTAGTTATTTGAAGTTTGTTCGTCTCTTTCGTACCAAAACCATGAACTACGGTTATGACGTTCTTTCACTGCCACCCTTCATTCTACTCTATCGCCGCCGCGAAGGTCACCTTCCCAAAGGCGACAGTTTTAGAGCTATTAAAAGAAAATATTGTCAGATAATAAATATAAAATCTCGTGCGATACCGAAATTTTATACCGGAATTATTATCTAAATTGATTAATAAATTTCTTCTTGTATTTTTAGTTCACTGATCTATTAAATGCTTGCGAGAAAAAGTTCCATTAAAAAATATTGGATTGAATTTCTCGAAAACTGAAAATAAGAGTATTACAAACAGTTGTAAAATGTAGTTCTTGCCTCAATAAGTTTTTGAGCGCAAACTGCATATAGACATAGTGAATATTTAAGAAGTTGACAGCGGCACGCAGTTGGTAGGACACCCAGTATCATTTTTGTATAAATGGCCAAATATAAAATATGCACAGGTATCAAACGTGGAGCAACAGTTCAACAAGTAATGTAAATTTAATTTGAATTGGGATTAAAACGATTGCGTAATCTTAAGTCTTCCTGTATGGACACAAATTTACCATGGTGAACATTAAATTGTCAGTCTAAATAGCAAAGATCCCGAAGGCTGTACGGCCCTAGCTGCCTCTGCTCGAAGGGTCGCGGGTTCGAATCCCGGCGTGGATGTTTGCATGTCCACGTTGTCCTTAAGTTTCCCTTAGTTACCTCAATGTTAAAATGTACGCTACTGACCAAGCAGTTAAAAAGCGAAGCCTTAAATTAAAAAGAATAATAGTGATAATTCCAATTACCTCTTCAGAAATTTTTATTTTCAAATTAAATATATTTTGAACTGCTGCTCTAGATGTGTAAATAGCTCTTCGTCTACGCAGTCGGGTTCGTACAAATTGCAACGTGGGTGCTTGAACGTCATGACCATAAAGCAAAATTCCCAACTTGGACGATTGCGTTGCAGGGGCTGAAGTGGGCGGAGGTGTCGACGGTGCGCGCCATGGGGCCCGAGCTGGTGGCCCTGCTGCCCGAGCGCCACCTGTCGGCGCTGCCCGCGGTCGCCGCGGCCGACCTCCTGCGCGTTCGCCCCGACGCAGCCGGCCTGGCCGCCGGCCTGTCGCACGCCTTCACGCGCGACCCGGCGCGCCGCAGGGAGTTTCTCGAGAGGGTGAGTGCGCGCGCCTCTGCGCAGGCTTCTCGTTCGACCTTCGCAGCGGTAGATCGGAGACGTCAAGGTCGATGCTCAGAGCGGGAGTCCGTGGCAAGGGTAGCGAGACGAAATCGTCCCTCCACCCGTTGATCGCCTCGCCACAAGAGCTGAAAAGGCACCCTGAACACTTTTTACACTTCACACTTGAAATACGATTAGGCGGAATTTAGATAAATTTAAGAAAGTTTCTTTTTTCTTTGCGAATCTTCTTAGTTGCATGCTATTCAACTTTGATAATGTTGCATACTAGAGATCCTAACAAAAAATTCGTAAAGATTTCTCAAATTTTCAGTACTTAATAAAAATGGAACTCAAGAGAATGTGCATAGATAATTTTCCCCCTACGTAAAGTTTTTACTGCCTTTTTGACTGAATAAATCTAAATCTACCTCGGAGCTAGTTTTTGAGAAATTTCATTATTGAAAATGTTGGTTTTTTACCATAAACTTACCATAAATAAATACCATTCGAGCATTATCTATAAAGTTCGAAATTTTTTATTTATAGAGTACCTTGTAAAGTTCTGTTACACTGCCTTCTGAGAGCAGTTACCAGTTATGTTTCCTTTCCCTACGCTTGTTGTTTGTAGCTCACCTCATCAGCTTGTAGCACACCACGGTGCCACGAAGCGTGGCACTGTCACCGGTAGAAGACCTTGACATCACTGAATTAGATTTTGGGAATTGTGCTAATGGTAATTTGTGTTGTAATCCTGTTCTGTATTACCAACATGAAGCAAGCGGACGATCAAAAAGCCACTCTAAGGCTACGGTCACCCAACAGGCGAAATATCTCGTTGCTCGCTTACTACCGGAAGACTGCGAACGAATCTTAATTTATTCGAAAAGCATCCGAATGTTGCACCCTAAATCCTTCGAATAGTCACAGAATTCTAGTTAATGGTTCGAAATGTTTGCGATAAGCACACTCCAGACCATAGACATAATGCAGGTAGTCTTGGTATTATGGATGGCCTAGACTGTCCAGCTGATTTCGGGCGAACGGAACTGGCAAATCCAACGAAACAATCTTCGTCCGATAGCCGATGCTTCCGGAAACAGTCAGAAGACGACATTCGGCTTCTCTGTATTTTTTTAACTTGGCTGATGACCTAAGGTCACGGTTACATCTCTTGCCTTATAAAAGGAATATTTATCAGTGTAAGCACATTTCCTACGGCAGGAGGTGTAAAAGACCGAAGGCCACAGCCCACTTAAAAAATTGAAGTATATAACCTTTTGAGTTTACCAGCACGTGTTAAACGGATCAGTCATAACGGATGCAAACAGACGTCGGGCCATAAACGTCGGACAAAATCGGTTACCCTGTGACCGTGCCGTATAAAGCTTTGGCGTCAGTGTACGTAGTCTGTTAAAAGCTGTTTCATGAATTTACTTTCTTAACGACCTTGAAGTTACTTTCAAAACACCATCCTGGAAGCATACCGAAAGTATTTTCCGAACAAGTTTTTAAAGTAGTTAAGAAGTAAATACGTGACATCTCCTTACAAAGATGTTTGTTTTCGTGATCGTAAATTAAATCAGTAAATTACATGGATGAATGATTATCTCGAATGAAATATTGTACGCCGCACGCAAGTGACTTTCCAAGATGCAATGGGATTTTTAGAATCCGCTTTCGACCTCGTCCGGGAAATCGCATAGTCGTGGAAAAACGGTTCTTGTAATGTAAATTACTGTAAATAAAATTTGTTATATTACGGGAAGTATTGAACGTGAACTGAATCGCAAATGATGGGCCTGAGTAGTTAATAATGTTGACTCCCGAATCGGTTTACAAATTTCTACATTCAGCTATTTACTCTATCGCTCTAATGCCGCTAATAACTCTGCCCGAGGAAGGGCAATTTAACGAACAGATTCGTAGTTGTCTGCGCAAGTTCTACATCAAATCGTATACTAATCTTTCTCGTACGATGCAAGAAGTACAAAATACGCAAAGTAAAAAACCTAGCTAATTTTAAATATTATTAATTTGTTTAGTAATATGTAGATTCTAGAATTGCGTGAATGAACTGAATACTAGCATGAAAGGTTTCGCATAGAAAATCTAATAGTTATCAATATTGAGTTGCTTCAAATGGATTACTTGCTGAAGTTGGAACTAATAATAATTTTTAGATGTTAGTTCTGTACAGAAAGACGGTACAAAAAGTCTTAAATTGGAGGTAGTTACCTTGACCTTACATATACAAAAACGTGACTTCGTATTTGAAGTTAATACTTCATATAAGAAAAAAGGCTTAATTTGTTTGGTATGGAGTCTTCGCGTGCGTGGTTTAAATCCCATTTCAGAAACGATTAACGTTTTGTCAAGTCGGCATCCCTTGCAATAAGATGGGTCCGGCTCTGAAAGCTTTAAATAGCAGAACATTCCAGTTAAAGAATAGTTTCCAGAAACGTCGCTAGTTTTCTCCCGCAAATTCAGGTTCGAGAAGTTTGGAAACGAAGAATGCAACTTTTTCGGTAGCATTGTAGGGACTTAAAAATTACTACAGTATGTTGAATGTTGCAACTAGTCTATGTAAACTATTGTTTTTATTAAACAAAATATCAGCAACTAAAATAATTTTTACTAAATTACGTTTATCCAGAGTATTTGAAGATTGTTGACATATGAATATGTGAAAACATTACGAAGATAAGATCCGTACGGCTAGCAAGATTGACGATACAGGGACCTATCAAACTTATTAGAGATAAACTATTGACCAATACTTAATAGTTATTCTTTACTGGAAGTTTGAAATCATATTGCACAGGTTAATTATTAGTTCTATTGAGAGGTTCTCTCGACCATACCTCATAACAAAGCTATATACAGAACTTGCTACAGTCACGATCCTAAATGAAATTCTACCGCAATGTGGTTTGGCTCTCCTAAGATTTTTCCGGTGTTGGTAAACGGAACATACATAATAGCAGCCTAAAGATTCAATGTTCAATCTTTAACGTAAGCAGGAGATTAGAATGGATCTTTCGAATTGCTGCAAATCCATACATGAAAGTCCGTAGACAGTTGGTAGTCAGACGTCTACTCAGCCAGGGGAATTTCTCGTTAAACTAGCCCGCTATAAAGTGCAAGCAAACGCACGATAGTATTGCTAAATTAACTTTCGCGAAAGATGAATATCGACATTAGATTCTAAAGTATAAGCAGATATTTGAACATGTACTAGAAGTTTGTACAGTAATAGTTTTTGAAGACGGAATAAACTGACAAGATTGTTCCTTTATAAAAAATATATCATATTGAAATCTAACATTTTCGCCCTAGAATTAAAGAAACTTCAAGATTTGATTGAAACCATGGATCAACTGTTCATTTCATACTGTTAGTCTGAATTAAAATCAAATAAAATTAGAGATCGGAATTTATACAAACGCTGATGCAACCTGCAGTAAGAACTCAGAGCTCAGATCTTGATTTTTGTCGTGTGCACTAAGCTGAATACTGATTTTTCCTTCTCAAAATCCTTGACATGACAAGTTTATAGCTGCTATCTTGAGATGTCTTAAGTGGGTTTTTGCTCGTAGAAAAACCGACTTGAGTACCAAAGGACCGGCTATGGGAGTTCTTAAGTTCCTGCAAGCCTGACAGTTCCCTGACCTTGAATGCGCAAAACATCTGCATCAAGTTGGAAGGTCAAGATGAAACCGATAATTATGGATATAACTAGTTCGTTCGAAGATGCGGTTGTTTTTTCAGACATTACATTTTTAGACTTGATTACATACTATGTCAATAGAACATAATGGATAGAATAACTTGTAGTTACGTTAATGCTCTGGTTAGCTCGCGTCAAGCGAGAATAGTGTCTCAATCGGAAATGGACTACTGGCGTTTAACAATTCCCATTATTTTCTGTGAAAAAACTATGTGATTACTTTTACAAATGCCTCGGTTAACGTGCAAGTGTAAGGAAGCTACGTGAAGGTCAATTTTAGAGAATGAAAATAAAAGTTTTGCCACGTAATTTAACGACTAAATTATTCTTTCGCTCCCTACAATTCGAAGTTAGGTATTTTTACTGAAGTAACCCTCTTTGGGAAGATACGAAGTCGTGTAAGATTTAGGTCAAATGTGTATACAGATCCTACAAAATGTTTACCTACAGGGCCCTGAACTTAACCATTAATATTCTATAAAAGTATGAAGATTCCTGGAATATCGATAATACTTCATAATTATATAAACACAAATATAACATCAGCTGTATGTCAATATTGGACACGTATGTGCGGGTCATACGATAGTAAATATATTCGTGAAAGGAGTAACAAAGATGTTCAGAATTCTATACACTTTTACAAATGACATCGCTTCGATTGATAGTGTTTAAAGTTGTGCATCGCGGATAAATTTAGTTAACTGGTACGTCAGTCTAATCACATACTTCGAGAATTCAGATTGAAGTGCCTACTCTACAGATTTAAGAAATGTACTAGAAGTGAAGGATTTTTCGGGCAGCAAAGCCAAAAGTTACCACCACAGTAAGCTTCCAGCTATTTGCAAATGCGTTAATATATCTATTTTGGTGAAATTGAAGTTTATCTTCAATTTTGTTCACATTTATGAACGAATGGGGCAGCGACACGCACATCTCGACTAAAACAGAAATATTGCAATGTAAGAACAGTGTGAGGGTTATTGTGTAGTGTGGCTAAGATTTGTTTATGCGTCAAGCTCTTAAACTAGATTTTGCCAGGCATTACAAGGGCTTGTGTGTAACATAAAGAATTGCCGTATGCATTGTAAAGATACTTTGAAACTTAATTTCGTTAAAAGCTACTATTAAAAATAAATCGTGTATTAAATGTATGCACATTCATTACAAGTCATGATTCGTGTTAGTCAGTGGTGTCCAGAGTAGTTAGGTTAAAATCAAATAATATTAAATTGGGATTTAAATGGGGTTGCCATGAATATATCAATGG